GGAGCCCTCCACTACGGCGTCTCTCATAATCATATGGTGGTTTTGGGACGTTAAACCCCACAAATCAATCAATCAATCAACCTCCATTTTATATCGACATTCCTTATGTACAACTACCTGAAGACCTTCCTAGCCCAACGATCTTCCCCCATTTCTTTTATATATAACACGTATAAATATAACACGTATATTTCGTGTTCCCTTAGGTACTCGGCCCCATTGCTTATCCATACGCCCAGATATTTGTATTTATCTGTTATCTCTAGCGTGACCTCCTGTATTCTAAGCTCACTACCTTCATTGTCATTAAAGATCATGACTGCAGATTTCTCTTACTGAATCTGAAATCTAACTTATCTCCCTCATTACCGCAGATGTCCACCAATCTCTGCAAATCTTCCTTGTTGTTGGCCATTAGCACTATATCATCTGCGTACATTAATGCTGGTGGTGCCTGATCAAGGAGTTTTCCTTGTTTGACGAAAGAGAGGTTGAAGCCAAGTCCACTTCCCTCTAATTTGGCCTCTAATCCTTGTAGGTACATCATGAATAACAAGGGTTACAGAGGACACCCCTGCCTAAGCCCCTGTTTCACCCCTGTGGGCTTGGATACCTGTTTTTCCCACTTTATAACTACCTTGTTACTTTTATAGATTTCTTTTAAAAGAGTAGTGACTCCATCGTCCGCACCTATTGTGTCCAGTATTTCCCACAAGTCCTCTTGAACTACACTATCGTACGCTCCCTTGATATCCAAAAATGCTAGCCACAGAGGCCTGAGTTCCTTTTCTGCTATTTTGATGCACTGCGCGTCAGTGAGAACAGATTGTCTTGCAACCTCCTGTGTTTCCGAAACCCATTCTGCAGTTCCCCCAGCACCCCCTCATCCTCTATCCACGCCTGCAGTCTTTCCTTTATAATCTGCATCGCCAGCCTGTAGACCACTGATGTCACTGTTATAGGACGGTAGTTGTTTATGTCAGCTTTGTCTCCCTTTCCTTTATAGATCATGCTCATCCTGCTAAGTTTCCATTCATTGATCAGGGATTTCACAATCGATTATGGCTTTGCTCACTATCTCTCTCAAAGTCTGCTCTCTCAAAGTCTTTCAAAGCTGTAGTTATAAACCTCTTCTCTAGGCTTGTCTCATTTCTTAAGGAGTTAAGATAGTTCCAAAATTTTGCAGCTGCTTTTCTATCCTTTTCATGTACTTCTGCCAGCCACTGAGCCCCCTTTCTTCTAATCTTTTGATTGATCAGAAGGGGTGCTTCCCTTCTACAGCTTAGCAAGATGTCCCATTTTCTTTCAACATCATCTGTCGGTTCACCCAGTTGCTTAGCATGTCTGTGTTCCCTAAAGGCTTCCTGACGTTTTGTTATGGCTCTATTAACTTCCTCATCCGACCAACTCTTGGGCTTGTGTCTCCTTTTCCGAGGTGACTTGTCATGTGCCTTAGCAAGCTCAAGCTCAGACAGTCCAATTAGATTCGTGTACGCCCACAGTGTTTTATCCTGAGATTTATAAAAATTGCCATCCTGTGGCGCTATGTGAAACTGCTTAGACTGATGGCAGCAACATAACAGGTTCTTCTTTTCCCAATTCTTTTCATTAAAAATAAACTTCTTTCCCAAAGCACGGGATCTGCCTGTTGTGTTTGTTAGAAGTCGAAGATTTGTCCTGAAACACTCTACTTAAGTAATTATACATTGTGCCTATATATGCCTAAACAATAGTTTAAAATGCCCGTATATGTCTAAATGACAGTATGACAGTATTCAGGGCTTGTTATAGATGCCTAAAGCTTTGTTTTTTCGTGCCTAAACTACCGGTCTCTAGTAATATAGGGTCTGGGATACGCAGCGACTGAGATAATACGAACATCATCGACTGCGTGTGATACATATGTGCGCTTTTCTGCCGCAATCTGATTCTAAGTGACGACTGACAGTTTCTTTGAAACTTCAGTCACACTCATTCACTCAATGTGGGTGGTCACACTCATTCACTCAATTGTGGGTGGTCAGTCTTATTAGATTATTAGGACTGAATGTTTAGTGAAAACCATTGCAATTATTTTTACCAGAAATAATTTTGATTGACGATGATGTTTGACCCTAGAAAGCTGCTTCAAAACACATTTTTTGGTGCTCCGAACCTGCTCTAAAACAGCATTATTACTACTTCCTGAGCTGCTCCAAAACACTAAAGTTCACTTCCACCCGTGAGTATGTGCAAACTTTACATTTGACTGTGCTGCCTCTTTTGCTGTTCACACTTTGAATCACTGTTTCTTAATAATTATACGGTTTGTGCCTTCCTTTTCTTCATGATTGTTTTCGTTTTACATTTACTAGTGTTATTTTTTGCTCGATATGCATTCTTGACAAACTCTGTTTGTTCGCATTTTACGTTGTCTAAATCTAAATGCATTTCTAAACAAAGTCTCAATGGAAAAAGATTAGCACTAGTGAACAGTGGCCAGAGCAGCAAAATTGCGACACGCAGTGTTGTTGATCACGAGCACGCCAATAGTGAGATTGCCAAGCAATTTCATTTTACAAAAGAGGGGTTATGTTGATGCTGGCCCCATCTGAAAATGCAAATCTTAAATAAATGCTAGTTAATTGCTTATCTTCAGCTTACTTGCTTGCTTGCTTGAACAATTTTTATTGATGCTGCAATTTGAGTAAGTTTGAGGAGGCTCAGAAGGGGCCACCCCTCACAATCACTCGGTGGGCTCCCCAGTACAGGATCCCAACCGCCGCAAATCGAGCTCGGTTGACCGGGGTCTTTTGGCTCGCCAGGTTCGGGGTTGACAGGCTTGCCCACACCATGTGGAAAACGTCCGAAGATGTCTCTGCACAGTGTGGGCATTTTTCTGTTCAGGCAGGATCAAAGTGTTTAGTACTGCCGGGCACAGCAGTGTATTGATGTAAAAGTGCACGAGTGTGCGCTCCTCTGCCTTAGTAAGGCCCTTACAGGGGTTAGGATAAATTGCATGGCTGAATCGGTAGAATTGAATAATCTCTCGAAAACGCCCGAAGATGTCTCCGCACAGTGTGGGCATTTTTCTGTTCAGGCAGGATCTAAGTGTTTTAGTACTGCCGGGCACAGCAGTGTATTGATGTAAAAGTGCAGGAGTGTGCCCTCCTCTGCCTTAGTAAGGCTCTTGCAGGGGTTAAGATAAATTGCATGGCTGAATCGGTAAAATTGAATAATCTCTCGAAAAGTAAAGGATGGATTGGGTTCTGGATTCATATTTGAAGGCTCGAAAGGTATTGCCCGGAGAGTGAGCGTGCGGGCGTCGTCGTCGGCCATTTCTTTGTCTTCGAGGCCCACATGAGCAGGAGCCCATATGGTTCTACGGGATGCGGGGACCCCGGTGTAATTGCTACTTTCAAGATTGTGATGCTCCAGGCCCCTCTCGAGTCGACGTTAATGACGCATGAGGCAAGGTCTGCAGCGACTAGCGTGATGGCGACTTCTTCCACATGATTTATGTTTTGATTGATTGATTTGTGGGGTTTAACGTCCCAAAACCACCATTTGATTATTAGAGACGCGAGTTATGTTTTGAGCTCTGAATGTTAAGCCATTCACCGTGATGTTTTGGTGGACGACTGCTGCCGTGTACCACCCCCCATGGTGAGGGCCGGAAGCGTCCACGTAAAAAAAAAATTCCGTGTATACCCGCCATAGTGGCGGGCCAGTTCCTCTGCCCGCGTAAAGTGCCTGTCACTGTGGTCTTCATAACTGTGGCGGGGCAGGGCGCATCACCAGAAAATAATTGCACGGTATTCCTTGCAAGAGTACAGCGGGTACCATGCTTCTCCAAAGAATGGCAAAGGATGGCATAGTGAATGCCTGCCTACTACACAAAGATTGATGGCATAGTGGGTACCTGCAGATGTGCTTGCAGCAGCTACCCGAAGAGTGTTAAAAAAAGGTTCTGAAAGGCTGCTTTTTCAGCTTTCGCTCTGGCAGTGCTGCACGTTCTGCATAGGCCTGGCGGATTTTACAGCGAAAGCTGTTTCGGAAATCGCACTCAGGTCACGCGCGGCGCTGTAGTTTTCTGCCGCAACCGCCTGTGTCCGTAATCACTATAGCGAAATAGGAAAACAAAAAATCTAGTACCAAGGACACAGTGGGGCTCGAACCTGAGTCCTCTGTGTGCCAGCCTAGTATTCTACTACTGAGCCACGCCGGTGCTTGGGACTTGTTCGCAAACTTACCTTAGGCAGGCTTGATGTCGGGAAAGGAATCGTGTCAATATGAGTAATAAAACGTTTTAGAACAGCAAAAGAACGAGGCGTCAATCAATGCGAATAGCGTAACCAAGTGGGTCCTCTAATGCTCCAACACAGTACAAAAGCTTGTTTTGATCGCCTATTAACTGTGGCGCATGCCCACTTCAGACATGATTGCTCATCTTCGTCAGCCACTGAATGAACAATTGGCATAAAATTCCTTGCAAGTGTTTAGTGGATACAATACTTCTCAGAAGAATGACGAGAAATAGCGTGGTGAATGCTGGTCTACTACCCTGAAAATATTGTTAATGATGTAGTGGGTACCGAGCAAGTGTGCTTGCAGCAGTTACCTGATGAGTGTTTCGAAAAGGCTCTGAAAGGCCGCTCTTCTAGCTTTCACTGACTGTGCTGTGCCTTCAGCCCAGGCCTGGCGTATTTTTTTTTCCTGATGAAGTTGCTAGTTACTGTATGTTTGTCACAGTTGCCCAGTAATAGCTGTTTGTTGGAGGGTTTGCGCTGGTGGCCACTGCATTGAAAAGTGGGGTGTGCTTGTCAGCTCATAATATCGGTGTTCTCGGGAAAAACGCAGTGCCGCGTGGTGCAATCTTGCCAGTCTGCCAACTGATCACTTGTGCCAATCTTATTCCGTACATTTTTCCCTCCTGCGCCTGGGCCCCTATTGGGCCGGCAGTGTTCTGTAATTAAGATAAAATAAATAAAAGGTTACCTTTTTACTGCCTGTATGTGCAGGATGTCGAGTAGGCCTGAGGTGGCCACTGTCTTCACTGAAGGACCCTGTTCCCGTCAGGCCAACGTATCTGCTGTGTGGGACCAGGCTAGCCGCCAAGAGACCACTGTGGTGGCACGCGAACAGCGTGAGACCATTTTTACTTACTTGTTTGGGAAAGTGGCTTCTGTACTGGCAGACAATGTACATCCATCACATGGACACAGTTTTCGAAGTCATATCCCTTTCAGTGTCCAGTTGTACACATGAAATTTGTAGGCAAGTCGCGCACGGAATGTTTCTTCGCATAGTTTGGAACACAGTAGGAACATTTGTATGGGCATCCTGAGTAGACAACTAATGATCATATTGCTGCGGAAGATCACTTTGCTCGACACCATCATGTTCGACAATCGTTCAACGTGCCGCATTCCAGGACCAATGTCAAGGGTATCTTTTTATTTGCTTCAAACCAGAAACAAACTGTGCTTATATTTTTGGCCTAATGTTTGAATATTTTTATGCAAGGATCGAAGCTTACCAATTTGAAAGTAATAAAACTGAACAATAATTATTGTAAGTGCACAACAAACAGATTCCTTAATTTTTTTACTTGAAATCATGACAAGTGACGCATTTGCAGACATCGCACCATAGCTTGCACTTGAAAAGGAATATTGTTCAAATGCAGCACATTTGCAATGCACTGGCTGTGGCTCTCACAAACAGCAGCTTGCTTCTTCATCCACTTTCTACATTTCATCTTTAAACCCCTTCACGTGCCGATTATTATGCAAATGGGTCAAATTCACATACTCCACTGCAATTCATTCAGAAAAAGAAAATGAAGTGATGCGTTGTTTTGCGTGCATTTGAGTACCTAAATGTAATTAGAATGTAATCAACTATTTCATTATCTTGCAGCCAGTCATGTTTTATTTTGGCATAAAAAGAATACAATAAATGGAATGGAATGAAAAAACTTTATTTGAATGAAAAAACTTTATTTAAAGATACAATAAACTCCAAATTTATTTAGTGAATACTGCCGACTTTTATGCGAACTCGTAGGCAGGAGTAGGTGACAGATACACTTGATTAGACATTTTCCAGGGCAAGAAAACAACAGAAGCTTAAAACAGAAAAAAAATGTCGGGGGGAAATATAGAAGAAAACAGGGATTTACAAACATTGAAGTCAATGCAGCGCTTCAGAATGAGCAAGTTTTGTTGACAAAAAAAAGGCGAGAAAAACACATACTGACACAATCGACGAAGCGTGATACAATAGAGCTAGCGCTGAACATAGGAAAGTAATACAACTCAGACACACACGGGAGAGATTAAATGCGGTGACAATGAAATAAAAAGAAAGAAAGAAAAAAAGTTCAAAGGATAGCTGGCAGATTTGCTATCGCATTCATGAATGAAGCGACAGTTGTGGATTAAACAGCTTCATCGGGCAGGGCATTCCAACTACGTGCTGCTCGTACAAAAAATGATTTTTGGAAAGCAGTGGTTCTACATGAAAATTCCTGGACTTTCTTGCTGTGGTGTGACCGGGTTATTCGTGACTTCGACGGTAGAATATATTTAGTTTTATTGATTCCAAGGTTACTGTGATAGATCTGATAAAACAGTTTCAGTCTTTCACGGGAGCGCCTGCGTTCTAAGGGTTCCAAGTCCGAACTTTCAAGGAGGGTCGAGGGGGATGTGTTTCTTCTATAAGCGTTGTAAATAAACCTTATGGATTTTCTTTGTACACGTTCCAGTTTTTTAATGTTTGCCGAAGTATGAGGTTCCCACACAGGAGACGCGTATTCCAGTATGGGTCTCACGTAAATTTTGTATGCCAATAGATTTTCCAATGGTTCTGCATAAGTACCCAAGTGCCCTCATTGCCTTTTTTTGTGTGTACTCTATGTGCTCGTTCCACTTTAGGTCGGAGGTAATTATAACCCCTAAGTATTTGTAGCTGCTAACTAGAGATATGCAGTTATTGTTGATGCAATAGGTGAAAAGAAAGGGACCTTTTTTGCGGGTAACTCTCATAGCGACGGTCTTTTTTGGGTTAATGCTCATCTGCCAAGTCGAACACCAAGAGTGTATCTTATCCAAGGATTTGTTTAGGGTGACCTGGTCGTTGGGGTCATTAATGACGTGGTACAGGATGCAGTCGTCTGTAAAAAGCCTTATTTTAACGGGTATGTCACAGACTATATCATTAATAAATACTAAAAGCAGAAGCGGGCCAAGGATGGAGCCTTGTGGTATGCCGGATTGAACTGAAGTGGGGGTGGAGCTTGAGCCATCTACAGAGACACTTTGGTATCTATGGGAAAGGTATGCCCGAATCCATGTTAGTAAAGAATCATTTTTTAGGATCGGTTTTAATTTTATAAGCAACTTGTGATGGGAGACTCGGTCGAATGCTTTTTCGAAATCAAGGAATATAATGTCAATTTGACTATGGCTATCTAGAGCACTAGCGAGGTCGTGAACTGTCTCAAGTAGTTGTGTGGTAGTCGATAGTCCTTTGCGAAAACCGTGTTGCCGGGGGTCAATTATGTTGTTTCTGTCAAGGAATGTGTGCGCTATCAGTTTTTGGTTGTATTAATTTTGACAGAAGAAAAGGAATACTTTTGAAGCTGGTTGTGGAATGCGGTACGTCGTACGACCCAACGTTACTGGAATAAACTCGTGCTGAATTCTAATGGTGGGAGTAGGAGCAGCTGACGGACTCTGCGTGTGAGCACTCGACTCTGGCATAGAGCAACGCCTCCAAATCTGCGATATGAACACAATCCGCGCTACCAGAGCAAGTAAGATGTGCAAAGTAGAAGCGAAAGTCCTTGAGTTGCCCGAATACCTTGTGTGTAGTATTCCATCCTACTAATTCCACGGTTGAATTCTTTGTACATGGTTGGTGGCTGTCTCTTAGCGACGAATTGATTTGCCCGGTCAGCTATGTCGTCCACCATTACTGCCAAAAACACGCGACAGCGGCGGCACCCACAAGCGGGCGAATATATTAGAGGTCATTCATACAGTGGTCAAACACTCCGTCCCATCATTGTCACGGGAGTACGGCACACTGAGTTCAGGTTCACTCCGCTTATTTTGGTGGACCAAATTTTCCTGCTCCATGGAGTCACTCTTGCTCTAAATCCACGCCAACTCTCTCATTGAAACACTTGACTCTTGCCCTCACTCTGTCATTAGAACATACTTGCCCCAAAAGGAGCGGAAAAACTTGCTCCGACTCCGCCGTTGGAATTCAACATTAGTTTCAAAGCTCTGTATCTGCACCAGCAGAGGAGGGTGGGCCAAACGTCGGTTGTGAGAACAAGCGGCGCTGCAGTCTGATTTTGCGCTACCCTCGCCACATCGTCTGCTACAGTGGCTGCGCTGTTCCTCGCGCCGGCTTCCCTGTTGTACTGTTATTGAACTTAATCATTCATCATGCTTTCAGTCAACATTCTTGCATCGCATTTGTAGATTGCTTGTGTGGATACGCACAAGGTCGCCTGTATAGGTTAGATCGAATGTGTTGCTCATTGCAAGTAGGCTAAGAATCGAATGTCCTGTCTATATTTTGCTGTCTGCATTCGGTTTAAGCTCCAAGTACAGGAAATTTACGTGAATGAGCATTTTCAGCGTAGAAAGTTTATGACGACCACTACCACTGGCATCTTGTGATGAAAAATGGCCAAAAACGTCTGTAAAAGCCCCTAACAAGTTGACTTACTGGAAAACAAAAATGCTCTAGAAAAACAGTACTCATGTTTTTTACTAATTACCAAAAAAGACCTTTTTTAAAGAAACAATACTCATGCTTCACACTATTCATCAGACAAGTCTTCGCGACGGCTACCAATCGAGAGCAGAGTGCAAAATGTTACAGCAACTTCACCTCCTTTCTCGCGATTTCGACCTTTTCAGAAAGCTCCTGATTGTTTTTTTTTTTTGCAAAGAAAGAAAGAAGAAAAACAGGTAATATCACAATGTAAAACATCTCTACTATAACTACCACGTTCTTATGATGAGCAGTATATCTCAAAAGATGCAGTGGCAATCACTCCAACTTTTCAACCACAATTCAAAAGAGGTCATCAACCATGGGGTTTTCATGAAAAACCTGTGCATAGTTTTCTCGATTGTTTTTAATGTAGAAAGAAGGCCGCGTAAGGGATGATGTAAGCAGCCTTCTTGAAAACACCTAATCTAAATGAGTGCAATTTCGTGTCGTTTGGGTGTGCCTGCTCCAGGGGTACTTATGAGAGATGCTAGAGGCCCTCTTTGCATGTTGTCATTTATTCAATTTTTCTACGAAGGTACCCACGGATGCTATGCACTCATGGTATGCTATTTCCTGGTGCACTTCACTGCACCAAGGAGTGACACTTGACATGTGCCACACCCCTTTACCTGCTCTAAGGTTCAGAAATGAGAACACTGTGATTGAGCAAAATATCTATTGCTGTAATATGAAGGAAATGTAACAAAACCTAGTCACTTGCAAAACACGACCACTTACATATGTTTGTCTTGGTTGATAAGAGAAGTATATATTAAAACAAAGATATCCGCTGATTTGAAGGCAGTGAGACAGGTGACAATTCATTGAATGTCATGGTGATGCAACTCTTAAAATCCACAGCGTTGCTTGTCGCGTGCCTTTCGTCTTGCTTTTTATTTCTGGCGGTTCCTCCAAACTGGGCACTGAGCATTTGAGGGGCACCATGCGTTTAGAGAGGGGGGGGATTGGCACCAAGTTATAAACATTTTGGCTTCGATATAGGGGGTGGAATTGCTAGGAACGGTATTGGGTGCGAGCTCCCACTTCGGCGTTAGATCAAAACTTCTTGTCCAGCAAAGTAGTGCGTTGTGATGATAGTGCGATGCGATGCCGTCATTCTCACATTGAACGTGATAGACTTTGCGTTTGGTCGTGAGATTTCTATCTTTGCAATGCAAAGCTTGGTACCACCTTTTGAATTGCGCCGGATTTCTTTGGAGGTCTGTCACGGCAAACATTAATTCGTTTATAACCCAATCAAGAACAAGTTATGGCATGCAAATGATTCACTGCACTACGCCTGATTAAGTTTTACTATATATAGTAACATGGTCTCAACTTGTATCGATC